AGACAACCTCTCGTCAATATGCGTTTTTCGCATTGCATTGCTGCAAAAAACGCATAAAAAACAATTGGAAGAAAAATCCAGCTAGCCCGTGATCCGCCCGGCAGCAGCTCCAAGCTGCCACCGGACACGCGTAATGATTACAAGCGACAGCAGCTCCAAGCTGCCGCCGCACACATCCGCATTATGCCGAATAAACAGTTATACTCATCATTTCATTTTCAGTTATCACATTAAATATCACGGAGGGGGGAACTCGAGCCAAGAGACGGGGCATTTACATTTTGGGAACCGAAGGGTAACTGGACAAGGCGAAGGGGATTGAGGCTCCAACTTCGCTTCGTTGTAAATGAGCTACAGATGTTCTCATAAAATAGAGCCTTCTACACAGTTCGCTTCCGGAATTGGCATTTTGCTAACGACACCAGTTTCAAATTTGATATTTTTGTGTGCGTAATGCAAGCGTGCCTTAAAGCTAGATTGAAATCCTCAGCACACACAAGGGAGCAGAATACGACTGTGGCATTTCAGTCATCCCCTATTCTTATCTGGTTCCTGTAACTGCTTGCTCGTCAGAGAATTCATATGATTGTCTTGGGCATCTGTGTACGATGATTTCTAAAGTGGAGCATCACACATTCATTTCGGGCCGTAATATTTGCCAAATCCGTTTCTTGGGAAAAGAATTCATTGCGCCGGGCACAAAGCTTTCGACAAACTTCGCAATTTCTTGTTCTGTCATTTCCTGTTCCTAGCTCGCAAGTCCTTTTAAAGCGGCAGCGAGCCTGCCTAGTACGTTGGGCTGAATGTCCAGAACCGGAATATCCTGGTGATAAACTATCAGTATACCTAGTGAGATTTTTCAGACCAATTTTTATTTCCCATTTTGGCTTGATGTTTTCGAGGGCCATCGTTTAGGGTGCTGCAAGGACTAAAGAGCTGCACTGTTTAAATTATCGAGTTTAGATTATATCCCGAAGAAATCGAAATGTCATTAACTTTTGGCTTTCAAATAAGCGAATGTATTTTTAATACTTTTATCACGAAGAACTGTCGGCTGAGACTATCAACACCAAAGTAGGAAAAGAAATGCCTGTTATGAGAGAAAGAAGAAGAATGCTTAAAAGCTCTTTCTTTCCCCGACAGTTTTTTTTGTCATTTTCAGAAATGTGGAGGCACAGGTTTCTTGCGAACAGTGGGCATTTACAGAAAGTAAAACAGAGCATGGTGTCTGGGAGGCTATTGTTTCCAGTCTCAAAACATGTGAAAGCGAATTGTCACCGAACGTTAATGTTCCGAAAAATATAGAAAATGCTGCTGATGATGAAGGAAAATTTGCTTCACCGTACTACGTTACACTTTTCAATAAAATATTAAAAAAGGTTTGTTTTCTGTTCTTCTTATACTACCATCTGTTTGAATCAGTTAAAAAGGTGAAGGAAATCGATTTTTGCGTCCACCATAGATGTTCTTCAAATGCAGCCACGTCAAATCAAAAGTCAAAAGCCCCCTCCGTGTTCGCTATCAGTGAAAAGTGGAAGTACTGGGGAAGGAGTTCGAATGATAGCGAATGCCAACTGCTACCATCTCTTGGCAAGACTGTCGATGGCTTCCCTCTTTCGAGGGCTGCTCATAAGCATGCTGATGACGGATTTGACTTCCTGGCAAATGCCAGTACCAATTTGCCATATTCAGTCGGATGAACGAATCGTTGAGGTTTGGCAGCTAAGCCTGCCCATCAGCGGCGTCGAACCTTTGACCAATTGCACTGCAACAGTGTTTCCTCATTTCGCCATACCCGCCGAACGAAGGCATCACGTAGATCATCGTAACTGCTGACATGGTCGGTTTTGAGCCTACCAAAATTTGAGCATATCCTTTGTGCAGCTGTGCAAAGCTCTCTTTCTCCTCAGTTGCTTTTCTTCATTTAACTCCTGACATCTTCGTTCGTGTACGACCAATTTTAAGTGATTGTATTAGGAAAGCTAACAGATTAAAGCATTTTTTGCTAGGCAGTTGGTTTTAGCTGACGGAAAAGCAATGATTTTTTTTTCGAAAAATCTCTGCGCCGTTGGGCAGTAAGCTCAAAATTAAAAATTACGTGGTTTCATCTCACTAATGTGTCACTTGTTTCTTTTTGGTTATTACTGTTATTCTTTGCAGGTTTTTTGCAACGGAGGGCAATATAGTGAATCGCGTTTTTGGGGCGAACGTTTGCTCATCATACATGAGTTTTTACACCTTTCAGGTATGCCTATTTTATGTTCAGTTCTTGTATGTATTAATCTTCCACAAGCTTTATCGCACCTCTGGCATCTTTGGCCAATCACACCTACATTTTCCGGGGAACGTACAAATCACCGGAAATTGGCGTTAGTTTTAACAAGAACATAGGCAGTATTGTTATTTACTGAGAATCCGAGCCGTGTTTAAATGTGACATGGTATTTTCTACGCCCCAGCTGGATGTTTTATTAAATTATGGTGGTGTCCATACGTAGCGGATATACTTTAGCCACTCACAAAGACTGGGCAAGAAGTTTACTTTTGCATGTACATGATATCCTCAAAATAATTTATAGGAGTAAGTTTAATAAAAAAGCATAATTACCCAACTTCTAGCATAATTACTCGATACTGATAAAGCTTAATTGGTGACCACACTGAGTTTACAGCTCGCTATATGTTGTTAATGCTTGTCGTTTTTTCTGAGAATGAGGGTAAAATGTTGGCAAAAATTAAGAATATTATGTGAGTGCGAACTTTAAAACTGATAATTTCCAATTTTTCCAGCTAAAGCCAAGCAGTTGTTGATTCGACTGTTTCTTCGCAAAAGGAAATGGTTACCGGTTGATAAGCTCTCGTAAGTTAATGCGTCTTGTTATTGCATATTTTTGTTTTTTTTTTTTTTTTATTGGAAATACCATTTTTCGAACCAGACTCCTTCGCCCGTTCTTGGGGGAGCAAATTTTGAAAGGAATTAGTTATTGGCTTCTCCTCCTTCCTTCCTTTTTTTCAAACGTCACATTTTTTCATATACATTTTTTAGCTATCCTGACATCTCCCAGCCACTGCAGCCATTATTTGAAGAGCTTTCACGAGCTGGGCTCGTTGACTCAAGTTTGTTTGTTTTTTTTTTTGCTGATTATTTTTACTTACTGTGAAACGGAAAAATGACTAGCACAGTGGTATTTTGCTTACTGATCTGTTTTTGATTTTCACAGCGCTTGTTCAGTCGATCTTGATGGTTGTTATGAAAGTCACACTCGTAGTCTTTTCAACCGGACGGCATCTGCTGCTTCAGCGGTGGCTAATTGTAGATCAAAAACCAGCGTTTACTTCGTTTTGTATTGTTATTCAGCCTCTCTTGCCCTTCAATAGTTCCATTATTTTTAGATTCTGCTAGTGTCTAATCTTCTACAAAATGCTGGCCCAAACATCTTGTCAGTATATGGAAATGTCAACAAACTAGGCATCGCTGATGCACAGCAGGTAGCTCCCCTGGTAGCTTCAAGCACGTCGGAAAGATGTTATGCCTCATTTTGTAGAAAATCTGTACTAAACCAGCTACTGTCAGCCTGTCCTGCAGTGATGAAGCAGTAAAGAACATGGAACTGTGAGTAAGATGCGGATCAGTTAGCAGCAGCATGTGCGATCATGCGTTTTTGCTGAGCCTCCTACTGTAGTAAGATCGTGAACTGTATTAATGGTCGCTGTCTTGCATGTGCACTCTTCTTAAAAATATGTTGACCCTTTTTGGACCGTTAGGGAAGGCCGCCATCGGATAGCGGTATTGCACTATGGGGCTGAATGAAGTTTCAGTCTTCTTATGTGTCTAATTCCGTGAGAGGAAGATGCCAGAATTCTGCCAGTAACATTTTGACATGTCCGCATACAGGATATGTGTGTTCCTGAGTTTCCAATTTACGGCTTGCGGGCTGGCATACCAGCTGCAAGCACTTACATAAAAGTACAACTTTCTGCTCTGTTTGGTTTGCGAGTTAGAAGGATACCAGCATGGGATTTGCTATGTATTTGAAATGGGGATTTAAGTATTATTAAAGCCAATCTTAGCCTCTGGTGGTACAGAGGATTAGACAGCGTCCTCCTAAAATTTCGCCTGTCTTATTTCTGAAAAGGAAGTTTGCTAGCATTTTTGCAAATTGGGCATCTGATATGTCCGTAAAAGCTCTTTTCACACCTACAGAGCCGCACATGAGCAGCAAGAATCGTGAGAATACAAAAAATTTCTCAGTCTAATTCCAGAGGTGAAAGAGTACTAACATTGTCCCAACACAAAATCTCACTTGCCGGCACGCGAGGCCTAGGAGTACCTCAAAGTAAATTTAAAATCTTAAAGTCGCGCATGGACAGTGAGCGCCCTTTTTGCAAGCGATAAATCGACAAAAAAGGCCAGTAAAATCGACAGGAGGAGATGAACAGACAGGTTAAAAAACTGGCTAGACTTTGATTGCGGATAACCATTAAAACCACAAAAGACTAGTTTATGAATTGAGCGAAACTCGTTCGACTTTCATGATCGGATTCAATGATTTCAGCAATTGCGGAAGTGCTGCTAGAAGGAAGAAAAATGAAAAGGGATAAAACTCGAAATATGTAGCATCCAAGGCACAACATCGGTAAACTAGACGTTTATAACGAATTCTCCATATGCCGTTTTTTACGTATTTCCCATTGAATTGCAGGCCATACATCGCTTCATGATGTTGAAGAAGCGATTAACTTATTACATGCACCATCGTTAAAAACTGTCGCGAAGCATTTTCGATTGGATGTGACTAAAGCCAAAAACGAACTCTCTCGTTTGTTGGTACAATTCGCTTCTCAGAAAAACGTCTTTGGAATAACGATGGAAAAAAAGTTGTTGCACAAGTAAGTTATTTTTAAATTTCACTGAAATTTTCCGAAAAACGGGTTGATTTGAACATCTCTCTTAAAATCTGTTAGTGCTTGAAAGGCTTGTCGATTGAAAAAAGGATTGGCACAAATTTGAAAGAAATGAACTGACAACTGTTTTGGCGAGCACAGGTTGTCGCTCTTGCGAGATCTTTTTTTTTAGTCAATTTGCGTTTAATACCGTCTGAAATACTATTTTTGTAGCGGCTAAGCGCTAAGCAAACATTTTTTGAACCGATTGTTGAAAAGATATTTAGCGTAGGCATCGGTAACATCTGAAAAAATTGATTTTTTTCATTTTTTTTTTTTTTAAATATAGGGTCAAGCAAGAGCTCGGTTCTTGTTTTCGCTTACGACAAGAAGTGATAACTCTGTTTTCTGCTCTCTTTACGCTTTACTCACCGAGCGATATGAATCCTGCACTGCTTTTCGATCAACCATCCATAAATCTACCTTCGCATTTCTTGTACGTTTTTTTTTTTAATTTAGCATGTTTTGATTGTTTTTTAAACGATAAGTTATATTTTATCGTTGTATCTCAGCAGTGTTAGACATTTGGGTACGGTTGGAGACCATTGAGCTGGAAGGAAAATTTCGGACTGGGTGAAAGAACGGAACTGGAGCTGCTGGCTGCACCCTTGATCCAATTTTAGGGCTTCCAAGTTTTAGCTCTCATTGTCGCCAGGTGGGGGGGTTCAGTTATCCGGATGATATATGTTGTCGCGGTGAAACTATTATTTCTGCAAAAATGCACGGTAGATTAAAATACTTTTTGTCATTGAACTCTAATTGAATTTCGTTAGCCGACTGTTATCATTTCTAGGTTTGTTATGCTGCAGTTGGGCATCGACAAAATTCGTTTTCCTGCCCCGCACAATCCGCCTTTAATAAATATCTATACAGATTTGGAAAAGCTGTTCAGGTAACACTAAGCATTTTACATTAGAATTACTAATGCTTTAGGGTTCAGGGTTAAAATCATAACAGAATTGGAGGTAAACCAGTCTCCCTGTAATTTAGTATAGGAGGCGCAGCAGCTCTGAATTAACTTGTAGTGGCAGCATAATGCGATCTGTATCGATCTTTTGCCTGCTGAGGATGCTGGCGACTCTCTCTTCCGGAAGTTGCCTAGAAGCATGCTTAAGATCGTTCGATATTTCCATTTCCCTGGCATTCGTCTGTACAGGTTCTTATTAGCATGAGCAACAAACCGTGGATTTTCCTTCCAACAGTATAAAACGCGTAAAAACTAGGCTTGAAAATCAGCGCATCGAAAACGAAAATGACACAAATTGTCCGATATGCTTGCAATCATATTACAGAGAAAAGCTGTTGGCTTAGAAGCTGGCAAATAAATTCATCTTAACCAAGAAATAAATTCACCTTTCACTAGCCTGGGGTTGCAGATATTCTCTCCACTGCTTTAAATACAAGCTAGCACAAATGCAAGTGAGCAATAAAATTAAACATGAAATTAACCTGTTTAGCTTTCCAGACTTGTAAAACGGGCATTCCAGCAATCGATGAATTAGGTGGGTAGCGCTGCTTGCCACAAGTTCATGCTTGCGAGGTGAACTCGATGAGTACATCAATATTTTTTAAATGGCTACACGCCCATATGACTGCTAAGGGTTGAAGGCAGACAACCTGTAACGAATGGGCCTAGTGTGGCTGCACTCAATATTTTAATAGTACATGGAGCCTCACTTTGATTGCCCACTGAGCCTGGTTGATTTTGTGAATTAGAATTGTCATCATTTTTCGGTTCGACAACAGCATTTTGATCGTTTGAGGTGAGAGCTTTCAGTTACGTAAGAGCGAAGGAAATGGAAGTCGAAATAGCCAGATGGACACAACAAGGAATGTGGACGGATATCATTCGTTCGGCCAGAACGGCTCGTGATCACTTCGAACACTCATTTTCAACACAAAGGTTCACGGATTCTTGGCTGTATCGCTTTAACATCCCAAACTGGTGGTTTTCGAAAAAGAATGATTCAGTGCGGCTATCTGGTTTTAGCGATCATTCTTCCGCGTTTGGGAGGGGGCATGGCGGTTTGTTTTACTTCTGAAAGAGCATACGAAATGTTGGGTTGGAAGGTGTGCAGCTGATGTTAAGTATACGAAATAGAAATTAACTGGGCCAAAAAACTGAATAAAAGTATGGAGAATTCAATTAGAAAGGGCTTGGATACTAAGTGCTCGATCTAAGCAAATGGAACAAAATTAGGCGCGAAAGCGGTCATTATGCTAAATTTGGAATGCACTGCTTTCGGGCAGGTGGCTGGGTGCATTAGCGATTTTCAGTGATTCTCTGTGTTCTGTTTTAGATCTTTCATCGAGTCACTTCCACCGTATTTGCGACGCTTCACTGATGCGCACATTTATATGAGGTTGAGTTTTAACTTCATATAACCTTTCCACCTTAATTCTATTAGTAAATATAATAAATAGCGGCGCGCACCAGGGTTGCCAATGCAGTCATAATTTTTGCCCAGTTCCGTCTAGCAGACGCTTGTTATTGATGATAAGCGCAAAAATGATCATCCGAGGTAAAAAATCTTCTACAAAAAATCTCACATATGCGCGCATAAGATCCAGGCGTACGTGGGAGCTGAATTTTAATTTCCGAGGTCACATAGGACAGGAAACATTCTTCTCAAATTTCAACTTCTGTATTTTCTGATTGTAGAGTAGAAAAATTTTCCACTAGGACTTATACATGTCCGCGTATGAGACCTAGCACACATGGAAGCTAAATTTGAATTTCCAACATCGCACGAAGGCATTAGGAATAAATAGCGACGCTCAGCAGGGCAGCCAGTGCGATCATGCGTTTTGTATAATTCCGTCCACCGAACGATTGCTTGCTAATGATTTTCACTGCTTTGCACTTTGGTCTGTGCAAAAATAGTTGAAATGTTGTCTGGTTCCTAAATTGCGGAATTTTCCACTAAAAATTTCACGCATCGGTACGTAAAGGCAGAATATGAAACCTCGAAAGCAGAATATCCACTCCACAGTTTCAGCCTCCTAATTTTCTGGCCCTCGAGTGATTTTTGCGACCAAGCTTCTACATAGTCGTACTTGAGATCTCGACATACGTAGAACTAAACTAGAGTTTGTGAAGCCCCTGCTTAGGCAGGAAACATCTTCCTGAAATTTTAAGCCTCCTAACTCTTCTAGGTCCCGAAATAATGATTTTTCCCACCAAAACTTTCAAACAGATGGTATGAATTTGCGGAGTCATACGTGGGCAGGGGATGCCACGCTAAAATTTCGGGTTCCCAACTTTTATGGTTCCGAAGATAATAATTTCCCCCGCCGAGACTTTCACGGGGCCGTAGGTGATACCCGAGAGCACAGGAACGCTGGATTTGAATTTGCGAGGTCGTCCATGGCACGGGGTCACTACCGTAAAATTTCAGCTCCCTTAACTCCATGGTTAATTATTCACCTCCTCTCCCGCC